AAGTGCATATTCTATGTTCCCCATAGATCAGGATATATTATTTGACTCTCTAGTCCAGTTCATTCATCTGCTTTAGTTGTGTTTAATACTGTTAACTTTTTGATATTAACTAAAACTAGACTTCTCCCATTACTCATATTTTATAGGATCTTACATTCTTTTGGATAATCTTTAGTAGTATTTTTCAATCTCCTCCCTCAATATTCCCTCTTCTCATGTGAGTATCCTAATTATATATGCATGTTTGTAAATGATTTTATTTTAGGAAGAACTGACATTTTAAAAATATTTTTGTCCAAAACTATGTTTTAATTTACCCAATTTTCTTTTTCTTTTGAAATAAATTAAAACTTCTTTTAGTATGTGTCCTATATATTTCTTTTTAATACTTTTTCTGGATAATTTATATTTTTGATATCAGGTCAAATAAACTTTATCTGATCATATGTCTAAACTAAGCCATATACAGGAAAGTTTATGTTTTAAACATTAATATTATTAGACTTTGCTACATTAGCATTATTATTTCAAGTAATTTATTAGTTGACATCTATATACAGTATCATTGTATTCAATTATGTTTTATGCAAGTAATAATTATTCTCAAATGTGATATTTACAGCTTGCACTGCATCATTTGCATTATTAAGATTTTCCAATATGAAAACAAGTATTCTAAACTTATTTTCCCAATTCTGTGTGTTTTGCAGTTATTTATGACATTTTTGATGTTGAAACATTCAATTTTACATTGCCAAATATATCATATATCATTTTTTTCCTGTTTGTTTTATGATTAAAGAAGCCTGCCTCTTAAACTTGATCTAAAAATTGTTCCCAATTGTTCAAGCTCTTACATGATTGTCTTAACACAACTTATTGAATAATTCACTCTTAACTTTCTGATTTTCGAAGTCATACATATATATATTATCAATACATCATATATTGATTTCAAATTATTTGTCCAAACACATGTTAAATTTTACTATTATTTTCCAAAAGCTATTAAAATAAATAAGTTTATTACTATTTGCTGGAATACAAAATATAGACTTCTTTGTGCTTCAGAAATTGTACACAATTCCTAAAAGATGAAAAGAAGATAGGATTGTATTGACTAGTGAATACATGAGGTTGTTTTCTTCTTAAGGATGTAGGTTCATGGAGTAGAAGGCAGGGACACAGAGGCCCTTTACAGGATTTCTAGTGTGGGTTTCCCTGCAAATAACGTTTGCAGGAAAATCAGGAATTCACCTTAAAAACTCCACAAACACACAAAATTAGGTATCATGAACAAAACCAGAAATAACATAGAAAGAAACATATACTAAAATTATTAGAGCACAACAAAGTACATATGCTTACTACCACTGAATGTATACTTAAAATGGTTAAAATGGTAAATGTTATGTTATATATATTTTACCACAAAAATATGAGATTATAAAACAGTCTATAATGACCAAGTTTAAATAAACTAGAAGCAAACTCAAAAATTTTCAAGTGTAGAGATTCGGGACTATTAAAAATTACCTAAATGTCTGAAAATGAGCTGGAGATATTCTAGAAATAAACCACACAGCAATTGATATTTACACATTTAGAGGATTGTGGATATTTAAAGCTTAGATTATATAAATGAAAGAAAAATAGGGAAAAAAAGAGAATCTGCTTATGGGATGTCAGTGTGAAGAGCTCTATAGACCTATTACTCAGTGAAACAATCGTAAGTGATGAAAATAATTTCTAAAGCAACCATTTAAAGTCCCCAGAAATTGTCATAATGGCATACAGCATGTGAAGAATATTTATTCAAGAAAATCAAGTACATCTCACTAAGAACAACAAAAGTTTGAAGAGCAAAACTGTTTGAAGAACAAAAGTAAGAAGAGCAAAACTGCTGCTCCCTCCAACCCCAGCTCAGTGTGACAGACACTTTGCTCCAAATGGACATTGCCAAGAAGATCATTCTCACTCTAATCGCCTATCTCTGTAATGTGGAGATTAAATTTCAGATGAGTCAGTTTAGACTAGGGGCTCTCTTCCTATACTTACTCCCAACTTACAGGGTGCCATCTCTATTTCAGAAGTGGCAGGTCAGATTATTAAGTCCTCAGTCACCTTCTCTTTAGCCCACTTGAGGGAGAAATTCCATGCCCAAAGGGACAAGCTAAGTAAAGTCATACTCACAAGTCAGGAGTGATGGCATGGAGATTTTCTTCAGGATGAGGCAGGTCATAAGAACAGACAGCTCTGAAGTTCTCCCTAAATGAACTAACTGGTGTTATTTAGAACACAGTATGGAGGAATTCAAGACTAAGGGTACTCTTGAAAACAGTGATTTTTGGTGTTAAATAATTAAGTGGAGGCTGGTAACTCCATATCAGCCACAAGCTAAATTATAGCTCAGTTATTTTACCAGAGAAAACCAGGGGGAAAGGCAGCTAAGATGAGCTCTCTGGGTGTTAGAAGAAACCCCAAAGACTGGCCCCAAAAACTATCCTTACAGAGGGACCTGCATTTAATTAGCTATAATCGTGGAGCAATTTATGTTCCAGTGCATCGTTGAAAAAAATATAGCAATTTACTGGCTATTTCTGGAGTCTAACAGCTGTGTGTGATACCAACAGAGGCAGACAGCTAAATAGAGACATCAAAGAAAGAGATAGCTAAAGACAGTCCTGTTAAAACAATAGTCATCCCAGGGTAACCTTGTACAAGCCCAAAACTTGAGTGATATTAGAAGCTTCACACTGCAGGGAAAACAGCCTTCACTAAAATAGTCCAGCCAGGTCACTAAACAAATAAATAAGCAAACAGTAATAACATCAAGCTCCAGAGGAGTGGGGTCGCTCTCTAGAGGTGCCATAATATATTCCCTAAAATCCCCCAATTTTTAACAACAACAAAGTAAGGTGTACAAAGAAACAGGGGTATTTGACCTATGCATGGAAAAAAAAAAGTAGTGTCATGCATGTCCGTGTGAAGAGACCATCAAACAGGTTTTGTGTGAGCAATAAAGCTTTTGAATCACCTGGGTGCAGGGGGGCTGAGTCAGGGAAGGGAGATAAGGGTGGGGCCGTTTTATAGGATTTGGGTAGGTAAAGGAAATTACAGTCAAAGGGGGGTTCTCTGGCAGGAGTGGGGGTCACAAGTTGCTCAGTGGGGGAGCTTTTTGAGCCAAGATGAGCCAGGAAAAGGAATTTCACAAGGTAATGTCATCATTTAAGGCAAGGACCGGCCATTTTCACTTCTTTTGTGATGGAATGTTATCAGTTAAGGCAGGGGAGGGTATTTTTGCTTCTTTTGTGATTCTTCAGTTACTTTAGGCCATCTGGGCATATATGTGCAAGTCACAGGGAATGCCATGGCTTGGCTTGGGCTCAGAGGCCTGACAAGTAGAAAACAAAAACTGACTGTGAAGAGGCCCAGGTGTACAATTCAACAGAGGAAACTTCAAAGCAGCTATCTATCATAAATATATTCAAAGAACTAAAGAAAACTATGCTTAAGAATTAAGGGAAGCCATGATTACAGTGTTTCATTGAATAGGAAATGTTAGTGAAATAACTGAAGTTGTTTAAAAATAAATAAATTTTAGAGTTAAAAATTGATACAAGTAAAATTTTAAAATTTGCTAGAGGAGCTAAAGTAGATTTGAAATGGCAGAAAAAGGAATCAGTGGATTTAAAGAGAGATCTTTAGGCATTATACAATTAGAAATACATAACTAAAATAAAACTAAAAATAAATTAACAGCGCTCAGAGAAATTCGGGATTCCATGCAGTTTACCAAGAATAAGAGTAGCAGGAGAGGAGAGAGACAAAAAAGCTGAAAAAATATTCGAGAAATAATGGCTGAGAGCTTCCCAAACTAGACGATAAAAACAACCAACCAATAAAAGAAGTGAGAGAAATGCCAAGTAGGTTAGCAACAAAGGGATCTGTATCAGAGCCATCATGGCATCAGTGACACAAAGGGAAAATCTTGAAAGCAGTAAAAGTAAGCGACTACTCATAAAAGGAATCCCAATGAGAATAACAGCTGATTTCTCATAAGAAACCATATTCAAACTCCTGAAAGAAAAGAAAAGCAACTGTCAATCAAAAATGTTATATCCAATAAAACTACCTTGCAAAAATGAAGAAAAAAATGCATTATTCCAGTCTACTCATGAGTAAAGCATCAGAAAAACTCCAATAGTGGCATGATATGGCCAACCTAATCAGTATACCTGAAAACCATCAAGGTCATTAAAAACAAGGAAGTTCTAAGATACTGTCATTGCTAGGGGAAAATGTAAGGAAACACAAAAATTATGTAATATGATAGCTTAGGTGCGACACTGGGACAGAAAAAGAATGTTAGGTTAAAACAAAGGAAATCTGAATAAACTATGGACTTTAGTTAATAATACTATATTATTATTGATTACTTAATTGTGACAAATATACCATACTGATATAAGATAATAACAAAAAGTTGAAAAATATAAAGATAAAATGAAGCTATTCCCAGGTAAACAAAACTGATAGAATTCACTACTAACTGACTCATCTTTTAAAAAATGTTAAAGGAAGTACTTCTGGATGACATCAAGTAATCTCAGGAAGTAATTCAAATCTACATTGAAACACATGTATACGCATACACACAGGAGGTACAGCTAAGGCAGTCCTAAGAGGGAAAAGAAAAGCTCTAAATGCTTGTGTTTAAAAAGAAGACAAAACTTCAATCAATAATCTAACTTTCCACCATAAGCTATTGGGGAAAAAAGAGCAAACTAAACCTAAAGCAAGCAGAAAAAGCAAATAATAAAGATCTCAGCAAAAATTAATGAAATAGAGAATTATTTTTATTCATTTTTTACCTGTTTAACTTTTATAAACAGTAAATAAATCATCGAAATTGAAAGTTGATTCTTTGAAAATAGAAAAGAAAATGGACCAACCTTTAGCTATTTAGCTAGACTGTCCAAGAAAAAGAATAACTCAAATTACAAAAGTCTAAAAAAGAAGGAACATTAATACTGAGCTTGCAGAGATAAAAATAATTATAAGAAAATGCCATGAAAAACTATACCATAAAATTAGAAAAATCAGCTTGAAATAACAAATTTTGAGAGAGATACAAGTGATCAAAACTGGATTCAAGATGTAATAAAAATATTAATAGACCTATACAAGGAAAGAGATGGAAAAGTAGTTTTAAAAACTTTTCACAAAGATTACAAACCAAGATAGTTTTACTGGTGAATTCTTCCAAACATTTAAAGAAGAGTTAATAATGATACTTCACTTATTCTTCCAAAAAACAGAATACCCTGATGAGAAACAGAATTTTCTCATCTAACTCGTTTGATGAGAAAATTATTATCTTAATATCAAACAAGACAAATTATAAGAGAGAAAACTGGAGACCAAAATTTTAATAAATAAAGAGAAAAAAGTCCTCAACAAATTACTAGAAAATCAAACCCAGACCAAGAAGCAGCTTCTATGCTCCTTCTGGAATTTCCACCTGGTTCAGCCCACCTGCCTCCACTCCTGCCTCCACCATGTCCATCAAGGTGACCCAGAAGTCCTACAAGGTGTCCACCTCTGGCCCTCCAGCCTTCAACAGCCACTCCTACACGAGTGGGCCCGGTGCCCACATCAGCTCCTCGAGCTTCTCCCCAGTGGGCAGCAGAAGCTTCTGGGGTGGCCTGGGCAGAAGCTATGCTGGGGCCAGGGGCCTGGGAGGCATCACCACCATCATGCTCAACCAGAGCCAGCTGAGCCCCCTTAACCTGGAGGTGGACCCCAACATCCAGGTCGTGCGCACCCAGGAGAAGGAGCAGATCAAGACCCTCAACAAGTTTGCCTCCTACGTTGACAAGGTACGATTCCTACAGCAGAAGAACAAGATGCTGGAGACCAAGTGGAGCCTTCTGCAGCAGCAGAAGATGGCTGGGAGCAACATGGACAACATGTTGGAGAGCTACATCAACAACCTTAGGCCACAGCTGGAGACTCTGGGCTGGGAGAAGCTGAAGCTGGAGGCCAAGTTTGGCAACATGCAGGGGCTGGTGGAGGACTTCAAGAACAAGTATGAGGATGAGATCAATAAGCATACAAGATGGAGAATGAATTTGTCGTCATTAAGAAGGATGCGGATAAAGCTTACATGAACAAGGTAGAGCTGGAGTCTCACATGGAAGGGCTGACTGAGGAGATCAACTTTCTCAGGCAGCTGTATGAAGAGGAGATCTGGGAGCTGCAGTCCCAGATCTCAGACACGTATGTGGTGCTGTCCATGGACAACTGCTGCTCCCTGGACACGATGGACAGTATCATCACTGAGGTTAAGGCACAGTACGAGGAAATCGCCAACCGCAGACAGGCGGAGGCTCAGAGTATGCACCAGATCAGGTATGAGGAGCTGCCGTCGCTGGCTGGGAAGCACCATGATGACCTGTCGCATACAAAGACTGGGATCTCCAAGATGAACCAGAACATCAGCCAGCTCCAGGCTGAGACTGAGGACCTCAAAGGCCAGAAGGTTTCCCTGGAGGCTGCCATCGCAGATGCCAAGCAGCGTGGAGAGCTGGCAGTTAAGTATGTCAACACCAAGCTGTGGGAGCTGGAGGCAGCCCTACAGCGGGCCACGCAGGACATGGAACAGCAGCTGCATGAGTACCAGGAGATGATGAATGTCAAGCTGGCCCTGGACAGCGAGATCACTACCTACAGGAAGCTGCTGGAGGGCAAGGAGAGATGGCTGGAGTCTGGGATTCAGAACATGAGTAACCATACTAAGACCATCAGAGGCTATGTAGGTGACCTGAGCTTGTCCTATGGGGGCTTCATAAGACCCAGCCTCAGTTATGGTGTGGGCTGCAGCTTTGGCTCTGGTGTGGGCTTCAGCTCCTTCAGTCACACCAGCTCCAGCAGGGCCGTGGTTGTGAAGAAGATCGAGAGCTGCGATGGGAAGCTGGTGTCCAAGTCCCCCAACATTTTGCCCAAGTGAACAGCTGCAGCAGCCACTCCCAGCCTGCCCCTCCTGAGGCTTCCCCAGAGCCCAGGAGGGAGGCCACTGTGCAGGGGAGTACAGGGAACAGGAGACCCACCTAAGGCTCAGCCCTAGCTCTCAGCCCCCACCCTTGCCCATGCCTCCAGCTGCAAAACAATTCAATTGCTTTTGTTGTTTTTTGTTGTTGTTGTTGTTGTTGTTGTTGTTTTTGATCCAAAATAAAACCTCAGCTAGCTCTGAAAAAAGAAAAAAGAAAAAAAAAAACAAAAAAAAACCGAAAACCAAACCCATACAAAGGATTATATACCATGACCAACTGGGATTTATCCCAGGTGTGCAATCTTTAAATACCCTAAAATCAATTAATTTATTAATCAATTAATTTGTATCAGCTGATACGCTATGTCAGTAGAATAAAATACAAAAACTTCCCAATACATTCAGAAAATGAATTTTATAAAATTAAATCCTCATTTATAAAACGCTTGACAAGCAAGCATCTGTGAAAAATCTACATGGTCAACACACTTAGGAATTAATTTAACAAAAGACATACAAAACTTATATTCTGCAAACTATAAAGCATTGTTAAGGAAATTAAAGAAGACCTAAATAAGTGAAAAGGCATACCATTTTTATAGATCAGAAGATTTAGTATTGTCAGGATGGTGATACTTCCCAAGTTTATAGATTCAACAAAATTCTATCAAAATCTAAGCTTTTTTTTTGTGCACATTGCAAATTGATCCTAAAATTCATATTGATATCGTTTGTCTCTGTGTCCCCACTCAAATCTCATCTGGAATTGTAATCTCCAGGTGTTGAGGGAGGGAGCTGGTGGGAGGTGATTTGATGATGGGGCAGTTTTCCCCATGCTGTTCTTGTGATAGTGAGTTCTCATAAGATCTGATTGTTAAGTGTCTGGCACTTCCCCCCTCTCTCTTTCTCCTACTGCCATATAAGATGTGCCTTGCTTCCCCTTCATCTTCCAACATGATTGTCAGTTTCCTGAGGCTTCCCCAGCCATGCAGAATGGTGAGTTAATTAAAACTCTTCCCTTTACAAATTACCCAGTCTCAGGTATTCTTCATAGCAGTGTGAAAATGAACTAATACAATATGGAACTGCAAGGGACCTAGAATCACTAAAACATACTTTTTAAAAAAGACAACATTTGGATCACACTCCTTATTTCAAAATGTACTACAAAGCTACAGTAATAAAGACTGTTTGATATTAGCAGAAGGACAGACATAAAGAGTAATGGAATAGAGACCAGAAATAAGTTTTCAAGTAACTATTAATTTTCAACAAGGCAGAGACAGTTCAGTGAGAGAAAGAATAGTCTTCTCAACAAACTGTGGTGAAAGAGCTAGATATCCATATGCAAAACCAGGAATATATACTCTTTCCTCACATTGTACATAAAAAATAACCCCAAATCACACACTTAAAAGTAAGTGCTGAAAATATAAAAATTGTAGAAGAAAACATAGAGGTCTTCATAATCTTGAGTTATGTGGTTTTCTTCAATATGACACTTCATATTTGCTAAGACGTTTATACCAAAAAAAGAAGAGAGAAGGGGAAAAAAAGGATGTGGAGAACTTGAAATCCTCTTCTACTACAATGGCAATTTAAACTGTGCAGACATGTCAGAAAACAGTCTGACCATTGCTCAAAAGTTTAAGCACACTGTTAGTGTATGACCAACAATTTCACTCCTGTGTATATACTTAAGAGAAATGAAACATACCTCTACACAAAAACTTGTTTGTGAATAATGTATTTGTCTACAGCTGCTGTAACAAATACCACAGACTAAGTAGCCTAAACAATAGAAATTTATTTTCTCACATTTCAGGAGGCTGGGAGCCGGAAATCAAGGTGTCAGACAGGTTGTTTGTCCTGAAATCTCTCTCCTTGGCTTGTAGATAGTGTTCTTTTTCTGGTGTCTTCACATGGTATTATTAATCTTTCTATGTGGTCAGTGTCCTAACCTCCTCTTATAAGGATGCCAGCCATATTTGATTAGTACCCACCCTGAGCACTCCATTTTAACTTGCCTCTTTAATAGTCCTATCTACAAATAGAAAAACATTCTAAGGAACATGAGTTAGGGCTTCAACATATGAGCATGGGAAGGACACAATTCAGTCCATAACAAATATTCACATAAATGAGTTATTTATGAGAGTCAAAAAAGTGGAAACAATCCAAAATCCCATCAGCTAATGAATGGATAAATAAATTTATTCTACCCATATAATAAGTATTATCTGGCAATAAAAAGTAATGAAGTACTGACATGATACAGTATGAATAGATCTTGAAAACATGCTAACTGAAAACAGTAATCACAAAGGGTCTTGTATTATATGATTCCATTTTTATTACATGTCAAAATATGAAAATCTATAGAGACAGATAGTAGGTTAGTAATTATCTATGGCTGAGGGCCAATTTATGGGAAATGAGGTGTGACTAATGGTTATGAGGTTTCTTTATGGGGCAATGAAAATATTCAAAAATTGACTGGTTGAAAAACTGTGAATATACTAAAAACCATTGATTTATGCACCTTAAATTGGTGAGTATTATGATATATAAATTATGTTTCAATAAAGCTATTATGTATTGAAAGAAAAAAATAGTACATATAATGGCATGAAGGGGAACAAAGAAAATATAAATTAAAAACAGTGATGACAGAGACATAGCCAATGGTACCTCCAAATGGATTTCTAGCAGAAAAAAAAGAAATATATGTGATCAAAGGTATATTTTAAAAGCAAAGATACAGAATTTTTTAAAACATATGAAAACACTGACGAGTTGATGGGTGCAGCACACCAACATGGCACAAGTATACATATGTAACAAACCTGCACATTATGCTCATGAACCCTAGAACTTAAAGTATAATAATAATAATAAACATATGAAAACAATAAAGGCAAGATTGTATGAAGCCATTTGATTCAAAATAAAATGCAACAGGAAGAAAATCACAAAAAGATCCATCATAATGTAACTTCAGCTACCAAAGACAAACATAAAATTTTGAAAAAAGTGAAAAGAAAAATCACAGATTATTTTGAAGCCTCGACTGATGGTTTTTAATTGTTGAGAAAACCTAGACTAAAAGAGCAAGAATAACTTCCCCAGCATCTCACAGTCATTAAATTTTTCAAGCAGGATACAGAATTATCCAATTATCTTTTCACCATAATATATTGCCTAAACACTTATTTTTGAAGAAGAAAATGTGAAATGAAACTCAAAATGCATGACTGATTTATTCACAGCCTGAGAGTGTTCAGGAGGCCTGATTACAATGGTAGTAATTTTTATATTTTTGCCACGTGAAATGGGGTATCTTTAAAGTGTGGGTTCAGTTGTACTTTTCTAAAACTTCCAGGAAAACATAAAATATGGAAGGTTTATGGTGGCACCAGGGATTTTCTGGAAAGAAACATTGATCTGGCTTATCTCTAATTCAATTTCTGCTGACTGTAGCAAGGAAGGAAAATTCATCGGCATATCTTTCTCATGGAGTATGGTAGAAATTAACTATGAGGCCCAAATAGTTATTATTTATAAAACTCTCATCTACTTACCATATTCTGCTTGTGTGAGTTTCCTTCAACATATTCCAAACCTAAGAAATATTGAACACAATCATACATTAAGACCCAGTGTCAAAGGCAGATCAATTTTTCTTTTATATCACTTTCTGATGAATTTTTGAATATGGAATAGAAAGTTGTCTAATAGAAGTGCTTTTTTCAGACTAATATACACGAATGCTTCTGGTCTAGTGCTCCCCAATTTATCAAATCTTCATCTCTATTCTTTCACAATCATTACAGAAACCGTAATTAAAGGAACAACAGATGGTTAATAGAAGCTGCTGTTTCTATAAGGATACTAAGCCGGAGGCCTTATTTGACAATTATTTTAAAAGTAGATACAAAAGGCTAGTCTAGATAATTTCCCAAGTTGAAAAAGAAACCAAAAAGAAATGAAAGAATGTACAAATTACCTCTCATAAAATTCTGTAGAATTTTCACCTAGTATTTATTCTACTTGGCTTGACTCCTACTGTGAGAAAACTGTGTCTTCTTTATGCTTTCAAATTATCTGGAACATCGATGGCTGATAATAATAGCAGGGATGGCTATTATGTATGTGTTAAGGTTGATTAGGGTCTCACTAGTTATTTCTTTCTTAATGATAAAGCCTTTTAAAATGTCGCTTAAGAAAAGAATAGATGTTGACAATATCAAGGATGTGAAAAAATCAATTTATTTTAAATCCATTGATAACTAATTTTAAATCACATACAATTCAGTTACAATAAATTTCTTTGCATATATATCTTAGTCTTCTACAATTTGATAAGAGTAGTTTGTTAACTATATTTCTACTTCAGAAAACTAAAAAATGTTAGACTTTACTTGATTTAAAATTGCCAAATGAGAAAAATGAACTTCACAAAATATGAAAGAATGTGTAGGCTGCAGCTAAGGGCAGTAATGGTCAGTGATTATATTCTGAAGACAAAAATACAATTAGAATAAAAAAGACATTTCAACCGTTTTTACATCAAAGTCACTTCAACATTTATTTAAGTTTCCCCAATTTTGTGGAATAAGAAGACTTCTTTTTTAACAGAGAGAAATATTTCTTTAGATAATCAAGGGGATACATGTTAATGTTTTGCACTAGTGCTGCTTCCTGATGAACTGCTTAATTTCCTTGGGGGATGAGCACCTTCTCATTTCTTACAGAGGAAAAATGGAGGATTAAGGTGAGAGGGAGAAATTAAACTCCCAATTCAGTTCTGTTAGTTTATTTCAGTTCCTCAAGCTCCTGTCTACTTTTCACTAAAGTCGTTCATTCTTGCTAGAATGCTCTTTTCTTTGGCTTATACCTGGCCAAGTTCTCAGACCAGAGAACTTAAATATCATTTCATAGATGCCTTTTCTAAATCT